ACTTTATAAAAATCTTCATTAACCCAGATTTCAACTCAAATATTCTCTCCAACCCTGTCGGAATCTGCATATCCTGTAAATGTAAGTATTTTTTGATAAAAAAGATATTTATGTTGTGAATGTTTTTATGTTACATACTGTAATGTTTGTCAGATAAATGATATTCTCCATTTGCTTTTTTAACCATATGTTAAGATAAAAGCTTCAGTGCATCTTTAAGTAAAGTTTCAAATACTTATAAGAATTAAATGTAAAATGTTTTAAAATAAAATAAGAGACTGTGTATATAAACACAAAAATTGAAACAACTTAAGTTATTTATTGTATCAAATTGTAAAATACACAGGTCGGTTAAATGATCTACGCCGAGGTGAGAATGTATCTGTAAATGTGCTTATGAAGTGGATTTTGAATACTGAAAGGCTGAAATTATTACCGAGATTTAAAGGTATTGTTTTCATTTTTTGCTTATACCTAATTTTCTTTTCATTACAAAAATAATAAGTATATATATTTATGAAAGAACTTGATTACTTGTCACAAACTCTATTCATCTAAGCATTTTATCTTTGCAACCTAATTAGTTACACTTAAGATTCTTCAAACTTTGAATATTTAATCTAGCAGAATTCATAGTTTTATATGTCAGGTTTCAAAGATATATGGATTAGAAAATTAAAGATATACATAGCAGCAGTCAAAGACATCCCAGAAACTCATGGAAACTTGGAGACAATATTCCAGAAAACAGGTCTCAATGAGCTCAAGTATTATGTAGCAGCAGATATGAAACTCGTGAATATTTTGCTTGGCCTAAGTGCACATGGTGGAAAATTCAGCTGTCTTTACTGTTCTGGGACCATAGGGGATTATATTGATGTTTAGATTTACTATGATTAGGATATCTTAATTTTTACTTGAAACATAAAGGAGTTGAGCCATTGTCACAAACTATGTTTTCTAATATCTATATCTTTGCAACCCAATGGTGTAGACCTTAAATATTTCAAACTATGAATTCTGTTAGATGAAAGAATTTAAGTTTGAAATATCAAAGGTTTACACCATCAGGTAGAAAAAAGGAAGGTATTATAAAATCAGATTTTGTGGCAAAGACTCAATTCCTTTAATTGTCTTAATTTCAGAAGAACCTGGTGATCTCAGGACATTTGGCGGTCTTGATATGAATTACTCAGCTTATTAAGAAAATGGCTCTAAAAACATGAAGAATTACAAGAATGTAATCAAACCATGTTTACTGAAGGAATCAGATAATACCCATGTCCTGGATGTTGTACCCCCTCCAGAGCTGCATTTGCTGATGAAAATCGTAACTGTGTGTGCTCAGCTTCTTTGTAATCAGCCAGCTGTCGCTAATCGGTTTAAAGCTTCTGGAATTATATTCCATGGTTATAATGGTGGAGGTCTAGATGGAAGAAACAGTAACAAGGTAGCTTTCAGTTCTACTTTCAATGTCTTTAATAAAAAATAAAATAATAGCTTTAAAAAGTCCTTGCTACATACATTGATAATTCTAACCTCCATTTCTCAGGTGCTGAAAAAACTGGAGAGTCTTTCTTCTTTTGTAATTGAAGAGTGTCCTGATTACCTTCCATTGGTTGATCTTTTGATGAAGTTTAACTCTGGTATGTTCTTGGGGAGATTATTGATACTATATTCTTATTCCTAAAAGAATGCCGAACTTTTTTTTAAAATCACTTATACTTAGTTTTTTTATAGTTGTTTTTTTCAGTTGTAGAATCATGCTTTGGCATGGAGCTCTTAGATGGCTATTGCATGGCCTTTGAAGATTTTAAGAATGAGCTAAAGGTACAGGTTTTTTCATATGATAAGACTTAAAGGGACAGTAAAGGAAAAATGAAAGGGGGTATAGGCTGAAAGCTAATCACTTTAGCTCTTGATCGCGACCCATGAAAGTCATATCTGAATAATATTAATTTACAATATTAAATCTAAAGATTTTTATTTTAGAGAAATAGAAGCGCCCTGCCTTAAGGACTGGAGAGAGGAAATGAAGAAACTAGAACTGTATTCAGAGTAAGATCTTAATGAAAATAAGCTAAAACAACAGCTTTAAGTATCTTAACATTTCATCAAAAAAGTAATATTGCAAAATTTATCTTAAAATTAGTTTTATTGCTGAATACTAAGAGCTAAAAATTAATTAAATTGTTATCTGCATTTCTTATATGCATTAATAAACGAATCCATATTAATTATAAAATAGCTTGTTCAAATAATCAAGAAAGTTCAGTACGATACGTAAAATAGTAACCTTATATTTCAAGGCTGAACGACAAGATCAATTATTTCAAGAAAAAATAAGCATTTCTAGAATGAACAACCGGTGTAACAACATACATTAAAAAATACGTTTAAGAATATATTTCTAGTTTAACACTCACGTGTAAGAACATATTTCTAGGATGAGTAACATTTGTTAGACTATATTAATAGGATGAAAGACGTTAAAGATTATATTTCTTAGCTAGAAGCGCACTATTGAGAATACATTTCTATGAAAAACGACACGTGTAAGAAAATAATTCTAGGATAAAATACACGTTCAGTAATATATTTTTAGGATGAAACACACGATCAGTAATAATTTCTAGGATGAAACACACGTTCAGTAATATGTATTTTTAGGATGAACAACAAGGAAGAGTTCAATGAGGTTAAGTATTGTCCTGTCTGCAGCAGAACTCTGTCCTGTCCTGATCAGATCTATCAGCACATGAGAACTGAGGAGCACAAACTATCCGTGAGTAGACTATGAGAAGAGTATGCAGTAGTTCGTCATACAATGGTAGGAACGTTAAAGTTCTGCGACTTTGATTCGTTAATCCATCGGTAACTGAAGTTAATACGTTCATATCAATGTAAATGCAAGATTTAATTATGTTCGGTGGTATAATTTTTTTTTTTTGAAAATCTCTAAATATTACATCACATCATTACTTGGAATTATTTTTTATTCAAATATGTACATTTTAAGAATAAATGTCTAGTTTTTCCGTTTCATTTTTTCACTTAAAAGGCAGCAAACTTTCTAACGAATGAAAGATGTTTAATTTTTTTATATTGGATAAACATAGCTGTCTGAATATTGTATTACTCAATTTGTTTATATTTTATTGTAAATTGTAATATGTGTGAAATAAAATATTTACAATGTAAGGGAACACATTTTTTAAGAAATACCAGTTAACTTCATAACGCATAAAAGACGCTTGTTTTTTGTTGTTGAAAGTTCAGTGTTACACATACCTTTTTTAACGAGCCTTCGACAGGACTAAAGACAAATACAGATAATTCCAAATTCTGATAGTGTACTCTGAAGTCCGAAATGGATATATTTAACGGTTCTACGGTTAATAATTTAGTCTATTAAATCCAGGTATAATAGAATTTAAAACATCCTGAAGGTTCAGACCTGGTCTCAAGAAGTTTATTACTGATTCATAGAAAGGAACGTTTTTGTTCGAATTTATTAAAGTTTGTGAAAAGTGTTAGGTCAAGAAAACATTTGATTGACAGGGGGAAATGGTTAAATTTATTTAAATCATCCAAAACCTTTTCTTTTTCATTATATTGTATAAAAAATTTGGCTAAAATTGGTTTACAAATTTGACTAAAATATAATTTTAAATCTACGAGAGTACAACCATTAAGATATTTAATATCTCTCGAAAATTTGACTCCCAACAAAAAACATACGTCAAAAATAAGAGACCTATTGGATGATTTCTCTGATGTAAGAACAAACATCTAGTCTAGAATGGTCTAGAATTCTGTAGTAGAATTCTTGAAAGCAGAACTGATTGAGCTGCTAAACATTTGTTTAAAATTAACATATTTGAATTTGCTGGTAAACTGTATACAAACAATTGATAGGAACAGCAATGGGATTACATCCAGACCCTTCCTATGCAAACATTTTTATGGCTAAGCTTGATTAAATTGTGAAACTTGCAAATGCATACAAAATAACTGACGAGTGCCCCCTGAAGATCTGGAAAAGATTTCTAGATGACTGTTTTGGAATCTGGACAGATTCTATTGAGAAAATATATCAATACCTGGATAATATCCATAAAATTCATCCTACAATCAAGTTTACTCTAGAACATAGTTCTCCATTTTATTGTGATTTAAAGGATGAACATGACTGTTGGTGTCACAGAATAAAAAGTATTCCATTCCTTGACACAAAACTGTTCATTGAAGATGGAAAAAATGTACCTACTTCTAGCATCTTGCAACCCAGCACATATTTCTAACAACATACCTTATTCACTTGCATACAGAAACGTACGAATTTGCAGCAAACCAGAACTTAAATGTTCTCCTACTTCCAGCAGTTTCTTTTATCTGAATCTTTGTTAAAGTACTTATCAAATTAAAACGTTTATGTCAGGTTTCATACTAGCTGTTTTTTGGGTTTAGCCGCAGTCGCAGTCTGCTGTTTTACTTCTTGCTTAAAATCCTTTGAATTTAACTCCCTTCTACTTTAATATTGTGCAGTGTTCATTGAAAAATATTCCAGTTTGAAATTCTGATAAACATTTTTAATGAAGGTATCGGAAAATTCTATTTGATCAATAGCATTACGGAAAGGAATGGAGCCTTCGACATACACTGAATTTCTAATTCCTATATCTTTGTATTCAAACGTAGACCTTAGATATTTTCGACTATGAATTCTGTTAGATCAATAATCTAAGTCCATCAAAAGCTAACTCAAACAGGTTACAAAACTTTAGGGACTAGAAGAATTAAATTTGTAGAAAAGACTCAATTCCTTCGTAAAATTTCTACTACAATATTATTAATAAAAAAATCATAATGTTAAAGAAGTCGGCATTAAGGATTCTAAAGATTTTATGGGCAACATGTCTTATAATTTAATATTCATATTTATTTAAACCAGAAGAGGCGAAAATGAAAAAATCTATTAGTTTTACTAAAATTTATTTGTACAGAAAAGTTATTTAGTTTTGCAGATATTAACGTACAAAAATGTGACTGGCAGTAACAGAATGTTGTGAGCGAAACAATTAAAAATGCACGCACAATTTTAACTTGACAAGTGACCTGTCCAAACAAATGAGAAAAATGTCATTACTTTAACGAGGATAATTGTAAAAAACTATTATAGTTGCAATCTTTTAAAAAAATTTGAATTTTAGAATTAGCGAAAATTTTAGCAACCGCTTGAAAATTAAAAACATAAATTCGAAAACATTAGACAATGGCAATGTATTATTTTTTAAATTAAGGTAATCAACTTTTTCTTTTGATCTTTGCAGAGCTGGAATTGAGAGGTTTTGGATTTGTTCTCCCATTCACAATATTCTCTATCTGTCTTAAAGGATTTAGTGATTGGTGGGGGTCACTTCGGAAAATTGTTGAGAGAAAAAATATTAATAATTTTTAAAATTGATCAATTTTGATAATTATGATTAATCGAAATTCCGTTTTTGTGCAAGATATCTTCCTGGAAATCTCCTTTGACATACTGAAATATCTGAATTATAATTGTGTTTGCAGTATAATTCTATCATTCTGATAAAAACTAAATTTTTTTATCATGCTGCAGAACTGCAGCCATTTCTATGAAGTCTAATGAATTTTCGAAAATATAAATTTGCCGTTTCTAAATAAAAACAGATAAACGAGCTTCTTGCAATAATTCGGATGGATCTCTCTTCAAAAATTTCGTTTTTAAAAAAACGTGGATTCTTCAAGTCACAGTTGGCAAAATTCCTAAATATACAATATATATTTATAATTATTTTAATGTGAGAAAAAAATTCCTGGAAAAATTATAATATTTACTGATGTTTGCCTCGTAGCTATTTTGACGGGTCAATAAAGTTCAATTTAGCAAAGGAGTTTTTATATTCAAAAACGCCGGAATTGTTAAATTATTATTGTTGAGAATGTTCACAGGGTTAAAAATTATTGAGTTAAAGATTTAACTCATGCTGTTCACTTTAAGGATTAGAGTTTCTTGTCTGAATTTTATTAATGTTCGAAAAGACGAAATGTTATTAAAGTACTGTTAGGTTAACTATTGTATTCATATATTTGTCACTAAAGTTTGGTCCTTTTCTGGGATCACCCTGTATCCGAACCATATAGTTTCCAGGAGTTTTCACCCTGTTTTTGAAGAAAAGTCCCCAAATTCCAGATCTTCGTTTCAGTTCCAGTTCTCCGCTCCTATCCTCAACAATCACATAGTTTAAAGTGTTCACGAGATCCGACCGAGAAGGTTGGAGGCGCAGAACTCGTTTTCTGTTTTCTGTCTGCTCCCGTTGAACACTTAGATCAATCCTTACATTATGAACCTTTGTTAAACTATTGGGCTCGGAGAACAAATCAAAGAACTCGTCCATGACTGTAGAGTTTGCGTCTCTTCTGTGCCGTCTCCTTCCTTTCCTTCTCTGAGGTTTAGAACCGCCGTTAAGTTGACAGGCAAAGCATCCTTCTGTGGAGATAAAATCGTCCGACCCCTCGTCCATGTCTTGAAAGTCCCAATCTCGCGCTAAAGCCTGATATGATGATGGATTAACTGTTGCAACACAGTGTCCGTCTCCTATACTCTGGTATCCCCTAGGACACTGGCAACTGTATCCCTGGTTTCCTGTGGGAGAGCAACCAAAGGCACAAGGCGCACTGCTACACCCCCCTCCTGATTGAATACAGATTGAGAGACCGGAGTCGAATTGGTATCCTGTAGGACAACCACACTCATAGCTCCCGATGGTATTCGTACACTTGGAGTTGCCGCAAGGATTAAGTCCTGAGTTACATTCATCCTTGTCTACACACTGGTTAAAGTATAAATGGAGCTGGAAACCCTCCGGACACCCACATTGATATGAACCTGCACTGTTCCTGCATCCCTCCTCACACCTGCAATACAAAGGATTAATCTTCCAATATCTTTGATTGATTATCTCAATTAGTATTATCATTAAACGCATGTTTTAAGTGACATATATATATATTCAATGAATCTCTGTACTTTTTTTAGTTCTTTTTACATAATTTGATAAATGACTAAAGAGCCTAATTAAACCTAATGAAGTGGTATCTAGTTATGTCTCAAGTCAGCATTTAAGTCTTCTTAGTTGAAAGCAACATATTTATTGTATATCCCTATCTTATCGGGACTTTATATTTGTGTTTCTTGTGAAATATTGTAACAAAAAATGACAATCTTCCTCAAATTTTACAGACACGCGACAAAGTCAAAACTGATGTGAACCTATGACAAATATTTGTTCATTCTTAATGAGATAGAGGTGAAAGCATGCTGATATGAGACCCAATTGCAGAGATGGGACGCGTGTAGAGAAGATTGAAGATTAAATCTTACCTGGAGTCATCATTGCATTCATTCGTGTCTACGCAGAAGGTTCCAGAGGAGTCTAATCTGAAACCTCGTGGACAAACACACTTGAAACTTCCGTCTGTGTTCTTACAGGTACCTGGAGACGGGCACAAACCCTGCACAGAAGTATCAAATTAAAGTGATGAAGAAAAAATTCTAAAAATGTGACAGTTGAAGAAAGGTTTTGCGACCTCTGTAAACAACGACAAAGATGACATTGATCAAGTAAAAGCTCGTTCAGACTTTCAAACTTAGGATTATTTAAGCAGAATCTTAACCCTTAGTTTTGGAAATATTTTGCTTAATAATTGCGTGGGTTTTCTTATCCCCCTAACCTTTTAAACATCCATTTTTTTACAAAGGTGTACACATGTGGAGGGCTATAGGGGCTTAGCCCCTCTTGGATCAGTAAAATCCATAGTTTCCAGGTGGTTTCCAGACTCTTAGCCCCCCCCCCATGTACCCCTCCTGGATAAATTCCTGTGTACCCCCTTGTTTCAATTTACCTGTTGCTCTACACACTCATCAATATCTAGACATCTCTCTCCGATCTGAATATATCCAGGAGGACACATACACCTGTAACTACCCTCGGTATTCACGCACTCGTGCTGACACCTATGCTGCCGCGTCAAACACTCGTCCACGTCACGACAGGTTCGTCCATCACGGTTCAACATGTATCCTGGAAGGAATATAGTTTAACCCCAAATATGGTTTTGTTCAAGGAGCAAGAGACTGGGTATGGTTTGCTCAGACATGCAAAGATTACAATGCCCGATTTCCAAAAGTAACTTTGTCTTATGCAAAGCATCCTTCTGTGGAGATAAAATCGTCCGACCCCTCGTCCATGTCTTGAAAGTCCCAATCTCGAGCTAAAGCCTGATATGAGGATGGATTAACTGTTGCAACACAGTGTCCGTCTCCTATACTCTGGTATCCCCTAGGACACTGGCAACTGTATCCCTGGTTTCCTGTGGGAGAGCAAGTTTTACCCCAAATATGGTTTCGTTCAAGGAGGAAGAGACTGGGTAGAGTTTGCTCAGACATGCAGAGATCACAATGCCCGATATCCAACAGTAACTTTGTCTTATCGAGTTTGTATTAGATATTTCTTTAAACTGTTAAATTTTATTTGTGATTTCTCTGGGAACGTGTCTTGCACAAATCTTGCTTTTAAGAAGCTTTGTAGAAATGATCAGAATTAAACACTTTGAACTAAAAAAACGACGATATCTTGCACATTTCTGATCAGTTCAAGGGCTCAAGTACCGTTGTAAATCGGACTTTGCCATCTTTGCATGAAATTATGCTTAAAGTCCCATTAAGGGCTTTTTAATAAAGGAAATGGTCTCACAAAGGTAAAACGCTCATAAGATAAATCTTTACACTATCCCATGATGCTTATTTCCTGATCGCATAAACCATTAAACCGATGTCGGAAACCGGGTTTCTGTAAAGGAATAAGGCAATATTGTAGATATCACTGTTTTGAGAAGACACACATTTATAATAAATACTTTGCTTGTCTGTCTTGTTTGTCTGTTTTTTTTTGTATCCCAAAAACGTCATGACGGCTGAACTTATCGGGCCCAAATTTTTAGTGGAAATCCGCCTGACCCCAGGGAAGTTTTAAGAATGATCGAATTTTCAAAAATTTGCCTCTAACAAAATTAGATTTTTAAAAATTTTGAAAATCCGCGAAATTTTTAGGAAATCCACGAAATTTTGTGTTTGTTTATTTTAGAATTTACATTAAAAGAACATGTTCACAATAAAAATAGAAGTTCCTCTAAAAGCCTAGTTTATTTATAATAATTCTACCTGGGGGACATTCACATTTATAGGATCCAAAGGTATTCAAACATTCATGTTCACAAGGGTTCGGTTCCTAACAAATTTAGAGTTAGTCACTCATCTAAAATGTACAAAAAATTCTTTTTATAAAATTATCTTTCCTGAATTAATCAGGAAAGAAAATTTTAGATGATCGGAGAATTTGTTTCTCTAATTTAAAAAGCTCAGTTTAACAACAGGACAAGTACAATTACTACTTGTACATTTGTTTGATTTGACGTTAATTTTGCATGCTTATGATTAAAATTATTATTGCCCCCCCCCCCAGTCAATTTTTCCATCATACATAATCCGAATTAGACATTAAACAACCCTCCCTGCCTAGCATGATATCAGTTTGAGGTTAGATTAGAACTTTACAATACTATAGTTCACAATATGCTCGATTTGTTTGTATAGGCACCAGGCAGTGGGTTCGGTCGGACCAGGGATAGATATATACAATCTAACCAACTACAATATTACTGGGAAAACATTATATTATAGAATTACAATTCATACATTTTAACTAAAGTTATTTTGTTGACCTGAAATGTGGTTTATCAAGTATAGTGGAGGGGAGGGAGTTGACTCAGTGTGCAGAGAATCTTGAATCCGCGTAGACGGACCAGAGTCCGCGGTGTAAACTATGGTGACAATTCACAAGTTCGGAGCAACACCGCTCACCTGTCATGCTTGGTCTTCAGACCAGAGCAAGGTTGCAATCTCACAAAACAATCAAAACATTGTAATCTATAAATCCGGAGGTAAAGGTTGGGAAACTGAATCCCAGCTCCAGCAGCATGATCTGAGAGTTACGGGTATAGACTGGGCTCCTAGAACCAACCGTATAGTAACCTGTAGTGAAGACAGGAACGCCTATGTCTGGGTTAAAGACGGAGAAGCCTGGAAGCATACTCTGGTTGTTCTGAGGATAAACCGAGCTGCAACCTGTGTCCGCTGGTCTCCGGACGAAAATAAGTTTGCAGTAGGTTCCGGAGCTAAGGTTATCAGTGTCTGCTTCTATGAAAAGGAATATGATTTCTGGGTGGCTAAGCATATTAAGAAACCCATCAAGTCAACTGTTACAACAGTAGACTGGCATCCTAACAATATTCTGCTAGCCGCAGGTTCTACGGACTTCAAGGTTCGCATTTTCTCCGGGTACCTCAAGGAGATAGAGGCTAAACCAACTCCCACGGAATGGGGAGCAAAAATGACTTTTGGAAACCTGATGGCGGAGTTTACAAACTCTCCTAATGGAGGTGGTTGGGTTCATGATTTATCCTTCTCCCTGGATGGTTCCAAGGTTGCCTGGGTCGGCCATGACTCCAGTGTGAGTGTAGCTGATGCCGGGAACGGGATGAGAATTGCTAAACTAAAAACCTGCCTCCTTCCATTTAAATCTGTCCTCTGGGTCTCCCCAAGCACCCTGATTGTCGCGGGACATGATTATGTTCCGATTGTATTCAGCCTAAGCTCCGAAGGGAATCTAGTTGAAGGTGACCGGCTCGAGGAGGACAAGAAAGCGTCTCTAGGTACTCTATCCAATGCGCGTCAGATGTTCCAGAACATGGATATCCTGGGACAAAGTGATTCAGGAACCCGTATCAATACTACGCATGAAAATCAGGTACGATTAATCCATTAAAAACAATATTCAATACTACGCATGAAAATCAGGTACGATTAATCCATTAAAAACAATATCAATACTACGCATGAAAATCAGGTACGATTTATCCATTAAAAACAATATTCAAAACCACGCATTGCTTCTCAAATGTTTATAAACTAACACAAGACTTAAACTATTAAATATACATATACTTTAGATCAACGAGCTAAGAATACAGAAAACTATGAAGGACGAGGTTCGAACTATCTCCAGTTGTGCTGGAGATGGGAAACTAGTGATCTGGAACCTTGAAACCCTCGCAGGGAAACTCAAACCTCAGAGAAACTGAAAACCTCCAGACCTTGTGCCCAGCAACGTATTTTGATTCTGCTTTGTTTAAGTTTTTTATAATTTTCTACTTTAATGATTAACAAAAACTATTTTGCATCATCTAGAAAATATTCTTAATAATTCTTGATTTATTAAACCATGCTCATTGCTCATCCACCTCAAAGCTTTAGACTGAAACCAAAAGTCCTTACTGTTATTTATTATGTTTAATGTGTATGTATATCTATATGTAATAAGATAAGAAAATAAAAAAATATATATAATTTGCACATTTTTACATGGATTTTGTTCAGTATCTACTTCTCCTATCCGAAGTACTCTGACCCAGAACCCCTTTTCAACTTATCCTGCATCGTAGTAATAAAGCTTTCCTACATATAATCCAAGCGGTTTTTCAAAAAATGTCGAGTTGTTAATAGTGTATCTTCGGCTTCAGGAAAAGCTGTTAAAAAATAATTACCCTTGAGCACTCATTAAAGTCATCACATTTAGTTCTTGTAGCGTCAGGTTTATATCCTCTTTGGCAGATACATCTAAACATATATCAGGTTTATATCCTCTTTGGCAGATACATCTAAACATATATCAGGTTTATATCCTCTTTGGCAGATACATCTCAACATATATCAGGTTTATATTTACTTTTTGGTAGATATACAGTTATACAATTAAAGGTTAACATATATCCTTCTTGACAAGGCAGATTCATGAATTCTAAATTTTATCCTTGCTGCCGAATATTGGAATGTGTAGAAAAATAAAGGAATTGATGACTCGCCTGATGCTCTAATTTTCTAATCCTTATATTTTTGCAAACTGATGTTGTAGACGTTTGATATTTCAAACTTTGAATTTTGCTAGATCCAACAATTATAGTTTAAAATATCAAAGGTTTACACTATCAGGATAAGAAAATTAGAATAGAGTTGGTGGCAAGTAATCAATTCATTTGTTTAATTTGTATCCCCCAGGAGAGCTTATATAGCCTTATTACCTGTATGATCCCTGGGTATTAATACACTGTCCGTTTTCACAAAGATTAGCGAGGGTTGAACACTCGTCTATATCTCGTCCTAAACTGTTCAACCCTGAGCATAAAATACAAACATTAATACAGCATTGGATAAAATAGCAAGGTGCATAAAGTGGGCCCCAAAATAAAGTGGAATTCTACGACGATGAAAGATACTGGTTTAAATAATTTAAGAAGAGGATATTTAGTCATTAAACTTTACCAGACATAATTATACAATAGGATATCTTTCTTCTGTTTTGCCAGCATGTTATCTTCAAATCTTTTTAAGTTTTGCTAATGCTAATAGAGACAAATCGAATCTACTCCTTCTAAACATAAAAAGACAAAACTCTGAAAAAGCGAAGAGCGCGTAAACTAAGAAGTGTCCCGATAAACATAGAAATTTTGAGACCGAATTAATTAAATTAATTTTTAAAAATTGTATGTGTATTTAAGTTATATTCAACATATAACTAATTTTATGCAGTGGAATATAAAGACGACAATTAACCAATCTTATTTTTAATTGATCTTGTTAGAAAATTTCTTCCTATTCTACATATTTAAGGTTCTTTCTATATATATATGATCAATTTAAATCTGGAAAAAATGCCGCGTGAATCAAAGACGACTTCAAAGTCGTCACTTAGTTAACAAGGGACACCCTATACCTGAAGATTGGCAGAGTTTATTAAACTCTCCAGAACCTCGGACTGGACAGATCTCACACTTATCTCCCCAACCTGAACCCATTGTACAGCAACAATCCGTCCTGGTTACTGGAACCCGTCCTCCAATCTCGCATCTGAATCCAAGATAAGCAATTGGTAAAAAAATAAAATAGGATCGAATGATAAAAATGGTATGAGGTATGTCGAGGTCTAACCTGCCATTTGTGACCCTGTGATAGCAGACACCTTTCCGGTCATCCACGCACTCCTTTCCGTCCTGGGACAGCTTATACCCATCCTTAACAAAAACAAACATTTTTTAATATTCTGATTCCTATACTTTTGCAACCTGATGATGTACAATTATGATATGTTAGTATTTTTAGTATTAGATCTATAGCAGAGTTCATAGTTTGAAATATCAAAGAGATCTACGAGATCAAGTTGTCAAATGAAAGTTTGAGGAACGTGTGTTAAGATCGGTTTTGTATTTAACCAGCTCCTATTACCTTGCATTCACACTGATATCCTCCAGCTGTATTTAAGCATCTACCAAATCCACAGATTCCAGGGGTCTCGCGGCATTCATCCACATCAACACATTCATCCTTACAATTAATAAAGTTATTGATTTTTTATTTATATAAATTGTCTTTGCTTTTAAACAAAAGGCATCAAATTTAAAACGTATTTGTGTTGATTTCGTATTTTAAGTTTGTCACTTCATTTTTGTCCTTAACCACCTTAGAGGTACAGATAAAGTTACTATCTAGAGTAATAGTTTCCCGAACCCTTGAGAACAGATACAGATAAAGTTACAACCTGAAGTCCTGGTTTCATAAATCATTGAAAACAAGTACAGATAAAGCTACTACCTGGAGTCCTGGTTTCCTAGATCCTTAAAGGGAGTGTTCACGAAAAATGAAAGGGGGTATAGGCTTAATGCGATAAAAAAGCGCTTTTGATCGCTACTAATCTTACTTCTATCTGTTGCGTCTATAAGGAGAAAATTGTTAAAGACGTCTCATACCGAATAACATAGCGTCCATACAAATTGAGAAAATTGCAACATACGACTTAGACCATAAAAAAATCAATTTAATTTCAAACAAATCATTCAGATATTACAACCTATAGTCATCGATTATCTTTCGCCACATTTATATATAGTTGATTTTTCATAATATGTTTTAATTGTTATGATCTGAGAGTTACTTATAAAAACATTTATTCCTGTTTCGAGGATTTTTGGTAATGAAGACGACATTTCCATATTTTCCAGCAATGTTCGAAAACAAGCTGTAAGCTAAATATTATTTTAAAAAACAAAATCAAAACTAGTATGAAATATCAAATCTATACAAATGTGGCGAAACATAATCGATGACCATAGGTTGTAATATCTGAATGATTTGTTTGATATTAATTTGATTTTTTTTTGGTCTACGTCGTATGTTCCAATTTCCTCAATTTGTATGGGCGGTACGCTCTTCGGTATGAAACGTCTTTATCAATTTTCTCCTTATAGACGCAACAGATAGAATTAAGTAAGATTAGTAGCGATCAAAAATACTTTTTATCGCATTAAGCCTATACCCCCTTTCATTTTTTGCGAACACTCCCTTTAAGAACTAATGCAGATATTAAGTTACTATCTGGAGTCCTGGTTTACTAGATCCACAAGAACTAATGCAGATAAAGTTACTACCTGGAGTCCTGGTTTCCTAGATCCTTAAGAACTAATGCAGATAAAGTTACTACCTGGAGTCCTGGTTTCCGAGATCATGGAGAATAGGCACAGATAAAATAACTGTATTGAGTTTTGTTATCATTATTATTAAAGTATTAGTTTCCTGAACCCTTAAGAACAATTAAATATAAAGTTTCTACCCAGAGTCCTGAGGACAGGTACAGATAAAGTTACTCCTGCCTGGAGTCCTGGTTTCCTAAACCCTTGAGAAAATGTACATATAAAGTTACTACCTGGAGTCCTGTTTTCCTAAACCCTTGAAAAAAAATTCAGATAAAGTTACTACCTGGAGTCCTGGTTTCCTAAACCCTTGAGAACTAGTGCAGATAAAGTTACTACCTGGAGTCCTGGTTTCCTAAACCCTTGAGGACAGGTACAGATAAAAGTTCCGATTAGGTTTTTACACTGGTATTTACAATTGTTCGCCTCGGTTTTACATTCATCAAGATCTAGAAAAAAAAACATTGAAAAAAGTAATGAAGCATCAATATTTAAAGATTTGAAAGTTTTACAAAATGAAATGTATTATGCATTAAATGGGAAGCCAGAAATTTCTAGAAAGCAGATTTTTTCCCTAACGTTTGTGAAAATTTATCTAACGGGTTAATTAAAACTCACCAATGCAGTGTTTCCCGTCCTGGGCTAGCGTGTATCCATATGGACAGACGCACTTGTAGCTGCCGACTAGGTTGTGACATCTGAACGCACAGTCGTGACCTTGATCAGCACATTCATTCACATCCTCACAGCTTCCTGTACAAATTCAGTTTTTATCCTTGTATCTTTGCAGCCTAATTTCGTAGACCTTAAACTTTGAATTCTGCTAGATCAAATAATCAAAGCTAAAGATGTCAAAGGTGTACAGGTTGCACTGATATAGGGATTAGAAAACAAGTTTTTGAGGTGAGTAATCCGTTTCTTCGTTTTCAGATAATTGTCAAAAATGAATAATTATAAATACAAACTGATATATGCCTTTTCATTAATTTACTTTAAAAATAACAATTTTTTGAAATATTTTAAATATTTGAACTTCTCTTATATTATCCACAGTTAGGTTTACAGAAAGTTTGCAGACATTACATTTAAAAAGTATGAATATTAATTCGCGACATTCGTAGACCCAGCCAAGTACTTCTAATACTTGATTGTGCCTCAGTTTTAAAACAAATACTTGGAATACAATTTAAGCAACTTCAATCAGGACAAAGTTAATAATTTTTGAAAAATTCAAAACACAATTTTTCTGAGATGCAATAATGTATTTTTGATAAAAAAGTTTATTTTCCGAACCTGAAGGACCAGGAGCAAAACCATCTGAGCAGGAGCACTCAAACCCACCCTCAACATTTCTACAAGTTCCATTCCCACAAGCTCTACTCTGCAAACATTCATCTATATCTACACACTTAGCTCCGGTAGGATCCAGACCATATCCCTTGGGACAAATACAACGATATGATCCGTCAGTATTTATACAAGATCCTCCCTCGCATAATCCTCTCATCATCTCACACTCGTTAAAATCTTCTCCGGATCCTCCACGACCCATCCCTAGAGGACAGAGTTTAGAAAATTGTGTTGACCCTGGATTAGGACATTCCTCACACTCTCCTCCTTCTCCTGATCCCCAGGCTCTACCCCGGGTACAGCAGCAGTTCCTCTGGTTCATCAGACCAGGACGTGGAGCTAAACAAAACTCTCCACGGTATTCATCAAAGCAGGAACCTTCTCTCTTGTCAATACAGTTCCTACGGGCTCCGTCCAGAACCCATCCAGCCGGGCATTCACAACTAGCGCTACCTAACACAACCTTTTTGAACAAAAAGACTCAAAGGAATTGAGTCTTTGCAACAAATCCCAATTTTCTAATACCTATACATCTACAACCAAATTATGCAAACCTTTGATATTTCAAACTTTAATTGTTTGATATAACAAAAGTGATAGTTTGAATTATCTAAAGTCTACAACATTGGGTTGTTAAGATATAAGGATTTAAAAAACGGAGTTAGTGGCAAAGACTCAATTCCTTTTCAATATTTTTAGTCCATATTTATGTTCTTAAAGGGGCTGCCGACGTAATTTACAGTTACACTCTTAATCAAACCTTAATGTGAAAGTTATATTGTCGTTTTCGATCTTGAAAATTTCCCTTCATTCTCTCAGGAAAGAGCCCGTTTTTGGAGAAACCACAGTTTATATCTTATGTTTTATGAGGACATCTTCTTCATTATTGATCAGACAAAGGTTTAAAGGCTACCGTTATGATTCTGACGCATTTTAATTAATGGAAGACCACTTAAAATTACGTTTACAGTCCCTTTAATATTGAAAGCATGAATCAGGTTAGATTCATAATTATCATAATGAAAAAAGTCTCGTTTATTGATTGCAGTTGAGTTCCCAAAAAAGGGTTAAAAATGAATAATCCGTTGTGTTGGTTTTCCTTCTAAGTTTTTACAGAAACCGTCCTTGCAGAAATCCTTGTCTACCAGACACTCATTCACATCCTCGCACACGGTTCGTCCTTTGTTCAGGGTGTACCCCTGAGGACATGTACAAAGGGCTGATCCCATCAAGTTCTGGCACCTACCCGGAGTAGGACAGAAGGACGGATCATCACATTCATTTATATCCTGATATATTATTTAAATAGGTTATTTATAATTTACAGATTAAAAATAATTTCAGCGACTTCTTTTAAATAAAACCATGTTGCAAATTTTAATTTGTATTTAAAAAACTGCAAATAGAAAAAGGCAATCAAAAATGCAATTATAAAAAAAGGCAAACTACTTTGTTTTCAGAAAAAGTATCAATAATATTCAGAGATTTTTCTCAGCTCTCAAAAATCTAAACATAAATATCGTCTTTTACCTGACAACTTCCTCCGTCGTCAGTTGGTGTAAATCCGCTAACACAATCACAAGTAAAACCTCCAAGCGTGTTCTTACAGCGTCCATGTTTACAGAGATTATAGTTTATCCGACACTCGTCAATATCCTGACAATCGTTCCTGAACCAGCGGGTCAAACTTTTCAGTCGTATTCATCAAGTCAAGAATTGACAATTCTAAACGTAAACCAAAAATAAGTTTAATTTATAAACCCTTGTTTTGTGAAATACCCATATGTAAAAAACATCCAAAGATTCAAAGGCAAAAAAATCTTTGTCAACTTGCATATAACTATCCAAAATAATATTGTGAGGAGCTTTCAAGAAAGTAGCTTCACCTAAACCTTTAGATTAAACTCTGTTGATGTATTGGAAACAACATGAATAGATGCTTAATTGAAGATTGAACCCCGCCTTGAGCCTAGCTGAAAGCCAGGGTTGCATCTGCATGTGTATCCTCCGAACTGATTCAGACAGGTTCCGTTTCCGCATGCACTTGGATTCGTCCAGCACTCGTCAATATCAACACAGGAGTCACGGTTCTGGTTCAGAGTAAATCCTTCCTCGCAGATACATTGGAAACTTCCCCCGTTGTTCTTACATTTACCTTTCTCACATATTCCAAGGATATCTTTACATTCATCGATATCCTGACATTCACGGCCTAGATATATATCTTTTAGATTGATTGCAGAAAATAATAAAAAGGAATTGAGCCAAAAAATCAAATTTTCGAATTCCTATATATTTGCAACCTGAAGGCGTACATTTTTTATTTCAATTTAGATTATTTTATCTAAAAGAATTCATAGTTTGGAATATCCAAGGTCTATGACATTGGGTTCCAAAGATATAGGGTTTAGTTTGTGCCAAAGACTCAATTCTTCTGTTAAAATTTTTTATGTAAACTTAGATTTTAAAAAGTTTGTATATCTATGCTATTGGTATTTTTATATAGATCATAAGTTTATCCCTGTCTGAGTAGTCTGTGTTATGCCGCGCTGTTTGAACTTTTACTTTGTGATTTCCTGTTTTCTCCCCAGATTTACCTTTTTTATCCAGACATCTACACAGGAAACTACCAAGGATATTTACCTGTTGTATCCAGCTTGTATCCACCAGGACATCTACACAGGAAACTACCAGGGATATTTACCTGTTGTATCCAGCCAGGATATATATACACAGGAAACTACCAGGGATATTTACCTGTTGTATCCAGCTTGTATCCACCAGGACATCTACACAGGAAACTACCAGGGATATTTGCCTGTTGTATTCAGCCTGGACATATATACACAGGAAACTACCAGGGATATTTACCTGTTGTATCCAGCTTGTATCCACCAGGACATCTACACAGAAAACTACCAGGGATATTCACGCATTCAGCATTACCAGAACAAGGATTAGTTCCAAGCAAACACTCATTCCGGTCTATACACTGCAGAAACAAGGAACTTAATATTTGCACTTATTCAAAAAGGTTTCTGTCAATTTTTTATTTAGGATTGTAAAATTTAAAGAATTGAATCTTTGCCACAAACTCAAATTTTCTAATCCCTATATCTTTGAAACCTGATAGTCTAAACCTATTATATTTCAAACTTGTTATTTGATTTAATATAATACATAGTTTAAAGTATTCAAGATCTACGACATCGGGTTGCAAAGATATAGAGATTAGAAAAGTTGAATTTGTTTGAACGACTCAATTCCTCTGTTGCACAGAGTGTCGTGGGTGAGAATTTAAATTACTCTGTTAGGATTAATTCTTGTTCCTGGTGTGAATCTTCATCAAACTCATATCCAGGATTACAATCACACTTGAAGCTACCGATTGTATTCATGCAGGTTCCATGTTGACAGGTTCCAGGCATTAGCTCGCATTCATTTATCTCGGTCATGCTCCCGGTCATAGGATCAACCATTAATCCTGGTCCTCCCAGACCACAGAGCTCCCGGTGGTTCTTGGTTCCCTCTCCGGGACATTTCTCACAAGTGTCACCCCAACCTGCTCCCATAGAGCAGCAACACACCATTCTTGTTTGAGGACGGGACATTGGTGCAGAGCATGTTCCGTTTATATGTTTCATATAACAGTTTTCCTTCCTCATGTCTACACATTCCTTACCATCCGGAGATAACATGTAGCTTAGAGGACACTCACATTCATATCCTCCCTCCGTGTTCACACACACACCTGGAGAACATAAACTAGGGGTTTCAGCACACTCGTTTATATCTACACACATCATGTGAGCATCGTCTAATCTGAACCCTGATCTGCAGGTACACATGAAGCTTCCGAAAGTATTGCTGCAACGGCCATGATCGCACAAGTTTACCATATCCATACATTCATTAATATCTTCTAGGATAACCGTCTCCTCGTTAGGTTTAAATCCATTTCCTCCTGGACACACTAGTTTATACTCTTCAGTACCTGGAGACGGACATTCTTCACACTGTGGTCCCCAGGCCTTCCCTGAACCACAACAACATGCTGAGCGTCCTGTCTCCTCACCCAACCTTCTCCCGCATACGTTCTTCCCTGTTGGAGATGTCATAAACTCCAGGAAACAAGCTCCTCGTCTCTTGTCTACACAACCGTTCCCAGTAGGGAGTTGATCAAACCCTGGAGGACAGATACAATCATGTCCACCTTCAGTGTTTATACATTCTCCATACATACAAGACTGAGGGTCTTCACATTCATTTATATCTAAACAAATAAAAAAATCAAGAAAGTTCATTTATAGATAATATCTAATGTATTAAAAGATAATCTTTATGATAAAGCTCTTTGCTATATTATAGCTGGCCAAACGGCTGACCAAATTGGCTGACATTTTTTGAGGGAACCCTTGGGTATTTGATACCCTGGGGGTAACAAAGGCTTAACAAATTACACGGGCAACGCCGGGAACTTTAGCTAGTCTTTAATAAGTTTAAACTCTTAAATTCAGAAAATGAAAAGATATTTGAACCTGTGCAGTTTCCTCCAGTATTATCTAAGATGTAACCAGGATCACAGATACACTCGAACCCTCCCTGTGTGTTCTCACATCGACCAAACACACAGAGATTATCGAACATGTCACATTCCTCAATATCAACACAGTGCTGTTCATCTCTACTGGAGGGATGCATGTATCCCATATTGCAATCACAACGGAACGATCCTAAACATTAAATATAATTGGCTCATGATCGTTTTCATCGACTGATTGTCATTTACAAAGTCATTGTCATGATTTTATGATTATTGCCATTCTCATGTCAATTTCAAGGGTATTGTCATTTTTATGGGTATTGCCATTTTCATAGTTATTGTCATTTTTATCATTGTAATTTTCATTGTAATTATTGTAATTGTTACTTTTCTATTTTACTTTTACTTTTTATTTTTGTTTTCATTGTTATTGTCATTGTTATTGTAATTGTGATTCACATATATTCATTTTTATTTCCCTTTTTTCTAACAATGTGTCGACATTGTTATTATTATTTTTTTGTAAATATTATTGTGATTGTGATATTAACCCACCTCCGTAGTTGACACATTTTCCATGTTTACAATGTGATGTATCCTGAGTACACTCATCAATATCCTCACAGTTATATCCATCTCCTAGAAACCCCTCATCACACTCACATCTAACAGAATACAATCAAATCAAACCAAGTACAAAACTGAAAGGGATTTAGAGAGAAAAGAAAGGCCAGCCACAACAATTTCTCGTCCGAGCCACATTTTACTCATTTTCTCGTCCGAGCCACCTCGGAATTCTCGTCCTTCGATTATTTTGTGGTTAAAAAGTTTGCAATTCTTGAAGATAAAACTATTTTTTAAAAATCTGGCCACGTTAGGACATAAAATATGGATGGACTTAAGTATTGCAATGATTATATCATGTTGGAATCTTCAAACCCATGAGAATGATCTCAAACTTTATTTAGGTAAAACTTAAATCTCTTCTTCCTCCGTAATGGCTAACCTTTGTAATATAAAATAAATAGCAAAATATTCGGCATACCTCTGCCTATAATTTTCCCCATGGAACCACCCGGAAAAAATCTATGGTTTTAACTATAGTTAACAAAAAAGATTGAAGTTCTATAAACTTGGAATTATTTGCGGCATTCTACATCAGGAATATCTAAAAATGCGCGTAAAAAAGGTGAACATTTTTAAAGAAGATTTCCTTGAAATTAATCAATTAAAACTTTTTTTTCGATTTACAAAAATTTGATATTTCATTTATGCCCTAATGTGGCTTGATTCTTAAAAAATAGTTTTATCTGGAAGGATTAGACACTTAAAAAAAAACAATATTGAAAGGAGGAGGATTTAGAGGTGGCTCGGACGAGAAAATGAGGAAAATGTGATCTGACGAGAAATTGTTGTGGTTGGATTTCCTCCCCTCATATAGATATTAAAAAGAATTGAATTTTTGTCACAAACTCAAGTTTTCTAATTTCTTTATCTTTACAATCTTATGGTGAAGAATTTTGATATTTCAATAAATTCATAGTTTGAAATATCGAATGTCTACGACATTGGGTTGCAAAGATATATAGATTAGAAAATCAGAGTTAGATATTCTCAATTCCTTTGTGTCGCTTCAAGGTATAGTGAACCTAATTTTAAAGGGACCATTGATTTTGGCATGTCCGATTCACAATGTTACCCTTATCAGCTTTTTCTTATAAAGTATACATATAATTAATAGAAAACCATTTGTTTTTGAAGACTGATTAAATAAATAAATAAATAAATAAATAATAATTTAGATATTTTTATTAGAGTGCACCCCTTTCGTGCCCAGCAGGGATAACTAAAGTTGAGCTACTTATCTCTCATATTAAAAGTTACCAAAGTCAAGATCAAGCTATGCAGATTAGCGCTATTTCACTCAACAGTTTTAACCTCAGGAGTGTGTGCCAATTAAATCACATTTTATTGAAGTCTATTTGGATTCAACGCTGAATGTCAAGTGATCGATTAAAACGTTATTCTACAGAATAAGATTTAAGATTTAGAATTAGTAAAAGAATTTATAAAACTTGATTAATAAAGATTTTGAGATTTGTGATTTAGGAAGTAGGATTACCTTACCCACAGTCTCCAGGACAAGGTACAGGATAATAATTTATTTATTTATTTATTTACATCGCACGCAAAAATCGATGAAAGCATTTCAATTTCTTCTTATTTTAAAAATAAGTGCTTAGTACAACAAGATTAAGAATAAGTGAGTTATAAGTGAGGTAAAAGGCAAGGCAATGTGACACTTCTCGACCAAGGGCAAAACCTGGCAACCCGTAAAAGTTGGCCAATTTCTTCCGAGTTTGTGATTGTAAAGCTCTTTTATAAAAAACTCTTGAAAAAGTACCTAAATCCTCCATCTGTGTTTATACATTGAGCATCTTGATCACATCCACCGTTATCCTTCAGACATTCATTTATATCCTCAACAAAATATCTTCAAGATCTGTTAAGATATTTTATGAGAAGAATGACGTACTGGTTCTGGTTCACAACAAAACTTAATTTTAACAAGCTGTTGATTTAGATGTTTTAACATATTTTGTCCGTCGCAGTGCAATTAAATATGAATTCTTAATGAAACTTTTGTTCTGACCAACTAAAAATCGTGTCTTTTTAAACCTCTAATAAATATCTTGTTTAATATCTGTTAAATAATTTTTATATATTGTTTAATAAAAAGTCTTCTTCACACTACAATACAAATGTACAAATGTTTGTATCCCGAAAAAGCCCAAGGCGCCTATATTCTAATTTATGTTGCATATTCATTAAATATTATTGCGTATTTTAGATTTAAGACTACTTTCCTAAACAGATACATAATATGTATTCTAGAGTAAGGTTTACCTTATTATGTATCCGAGAGTAAAGTTTACCTATACTATGTATCCGAGAGTAAAGTTTACCTATACTATGTATCCTAGAGTAAGGTTTACCTATATTATGCATTCTAGAGTAAGGTTTACCTATGCTATGTATTCTAGAGTAAGGTTTACCTATACTATGTATTTTGGAGTTAGGTTTAACTATGCTATGTATCTTATAGTAAGGATTACCTGTTCTATGTATCCTGGAGTAAAGTTTACCTATACTATGTATCTTGGAGTTAGGTTTACCTATGCTATGTATCCTATAATAAGGATTACCTATTCTTTGTATCCTGGAGTAAAGTTTTCCTATACTATGTATCATGGAGTTAGGTTTGTATCCTAGAGTAAGGTTTACCTGGCAATTAAAACCATCTCCAGTAAATCCTTCTCTGCAGATACAATCATAGGATCCATTAGTGTTCTTGCACTCTGCAAACGGATCACAATGATAGATATCCAACTCACATTCGTCATCATCAATACAGCCGTCGGCCAAGGATTCTTGGACTGATGAACAAATGCTTTAAAATGAAAATACTGCAATTGACTGGAATATTAATTTAATTTTCTTTTCATAAATAATGTTTATTTTTGTTTTAAAAGCATGTTTCCTGAAAACCCATCATCGCACAAACATTTGTAGGAACCTAGAACATTCTCACACTTTCCGTTCAAACAAACCTAGATAGTTCAAATATATAAATCACAGATTTCATGGAAGTTATTAAATTTAAGGTTTTGCTAAAATGGATAATATCAGGAAATGCTCAGAATATCTCAATTATCTCAATAAGCAATACAATCAAGTGAATCTTAATGCTTAAGGAGTCAAAGGAATCATATCGTTTTCGCCAGAAAACTCAGGTTTCTTTTAGGTTTATTTTCAACATACAATGATAACCAGAAAAAATGTATTAGGAAGACCACATATAGAGATACTAAAGCATATTTGATGTTATTACAAAGCAAATAGTTTTAATAGACACAAAATTCACAAGCAACCCGTGATTTCTGGCAAAAAAACATTGTAAGATAGAGAAACGACAATTCTGGTGCTCAGGGACCTCTTTGTGCGGTACCGATAAACTTAATTGTTTTTCTATTTCAGAAAACTAGGACTTTATATGTATTTGCTAATTGGTGAACAATCCTTCAAGTATTAAATAATTTAACTGAATGAAAATTAAACTTACATCCGGGTCAATTATGCATTCATCCAGATCTATGCAGGATGTTGCCTCCGATCCCATCATTAAACCCCCCGAGCATACACAGGAGTAGCTTCCAGGAGTATTCATACATTTCCCTCCGTTACAAGGATCTGATAGTGTCGTGCACTCGTCTATATCCACACAACTCCGTCCATCCAGTAAAAGCATGTACCCGGAGTTGCAACTGCATGAATACGCACCAGGAGAGTTTATACAAATATCATCACAACCTCCATTGTTATTGGAGCATTCATCTACGTCCTGACAGGATAAACCTCCTCCAACCTGACTGTAACCTTCATCGCAGATACATTGGTAGGTTCCCATCATATTCTCACACACTCCCTTTGAGCATATTCCACTCGTTCTGCTACACTCGTCCACGTCTTTGCAATTTCGTCCGTCACTGGTTAGTTCATGACCGGGAGGGCACTCACATTCAAAGGATCCTGGAGTATTAATACATCTTCCTCCTTGGCAGAGAGATCTATCTCTCTCACACTCATTTATATCCATACATACTTGCATCATCATCAACATCTCAAACCCGGCATCACAATCACATGTGAACCCACCCGGGGTATTTAGACAGATTCCATTCCCGCAAACTCCACGCATTATACTGCATTCATCTATATCTACACATTTAATTCCGTCCTCATCTAGAACATATCCCTGATTGCATCTACAGCTGAAGGATCCAACAGAGTTTTTACATCGTCCATTCATGCACATATCAGGGAACTCGGTACACTCATTTACATCAGTCAACTCGACATATCCATGTCCTTTCCGACACAAGCTGTCAAAATCTTGGGATCCAGGTTTAGGGCATTGAGTACACTTGTTTCCCCAGGCCTCTCCAATAGTACAGCAACACATTTCCTTTTTATACCGACCCTCTAACTCTCTTCTACACATCCCAACCCTGTAATCAAGGTAACATGATTCTTCTCTTGTGTCTGTACATTTCAGTCCCGTTTCATCTAGGGTTAGTCCTGGAGGGCAGGAGCAGGTAAAACTTCCATCTGTGTTTACACAACGTCCGCCCTCGCATAGATTCGGATCCATCAAGCATTCATTAATGTCAAGACAAGTTTTCCCATCAGTTTTTGCCATTCCAGGTAAACACTCGCATCCAGACCTATCACAAGGCTCACAAGGACTACCCCAACCTACTCCTACAGAACAGCAACACTCAGACTTTAGAGTTAGGCTTGAGAGGCTGTTCTCACACTGCCCGGAGGTAATATCTGTCCAGCAAGTTCCTTTCCTTGAGTCAATACAGAACCTTCCTGTAGAGTCAAGTACAAACCCAGAGGAGCATTCACATCTGTAACTGCCCTGAGTATTGATACAGGTTCCACCGGAGCACGCGTCCTGATTCAGGTTCCTGCATTCATCCTCATCCTCGCAGAAATGATTTTTCTCATTATAAACGGTTCCGGTTGGACAGATGCATTGAAAGCTTCCAAGAGTATTCTTACACTGACCTCCATTACAGATTAATGGATCCAGAGCGCATTCATCCTTATCAACACAACTCTTCCCTGATACATCAACTTCATATCCTTGGTTGCATATACACCTGTAGGATCCGATCAGATTCTCACATGCTCCTTTTCCACAGATTTCAGGGTTCTGAGCACACTCGTTGATATCATTTCCTCCGTTAGTAAACCCAGAACCATGAGGACAGAGCTGATTAAACTCAGATGAACCTGGAGTAGGACAGGCGGAGCAAGGATTACCCCAACCCATTGGATGAGAGAAGGATGCTGTACAACAGCAACATGTTGATTTAGAAACCTGGGTTGAGGATGGATTAATGCAACGTCCATCTCTGAACATTGCATAGCACACCCCTTGAACTGTCTCTGTACATGTCTTACTATCAGGACCTAAAGAAAACCCTGGCAAACACTGGCACATATATCCACCCTCGGAGTTAGTACAACTCCCACCCTGACAAGGGTTACTGGCACATTCGTTCACATCCTCGCAGGTCTTTCCGTTGCTTGCTAACTGATATCCAGGATCACACATACACTTGAAGCTTCCATCCATATTCACACAGCGTCCGTTTTCACACATTCCTGCTTGAGAGCATTCGTTGAGATCTCGACAGAAACTACCATCAGATGAATGTTCAAAACCGTCCTCACATAAACAGACGTAGGATCCAGGGATATTCTTACATTGGCCTTTCAAACAAATCATTGGATTCTCATAACATTCATCCACGTCAACACAGCTTAATCCTGATGGAGAGATTTTGTATCCAGGTTTACATTCACATTTGAAAGATCCGTCTGAGTTTGTACAGATTCCGTTGGAACACATCCCAGTTTGTCCGCACTCGTTATGATCTATACATTGGGTTCCATTGGAGCTCGGATGGAAACCTAAAGGACACAAACAGTCAAACCCTCCGTCACGGTTTCGACAGGTTCCTCCTGAACACATTCCTGTCAGACATTCGTTCTTATCCTTACATTGTCCTGACGCGGTAATTTCGTATCCGTCCTTACACTCACAACTATATCCGGAGTCTGTGTTAATACAAACTCCATTATCACAGAGATCCTGGCGTAGAGAGCACTCATCAATATCTGACGGAGACAATATAGAGAGAGCTTCCTTACAAAGAATATTAAACTCACTGGTTCCCCGGGATGGACAGGGCTCACATAAATCTCCAGGATTGAATTTCCATCCTTCTCCCATAGTCTGTCCGCAGCAGCAATCTATCCTTGAGAGCTTAAAGCTCATATCATTGACACACTGTCCAGCTGCAGTAAAGGATGTGAAGCAGGTTCCCTGTCTTCCGTCCAGACAAGATCTTCTATCCTGGGTAGAGATAAAACCAGGTTGACAGATGCAGGAGTATCCTGGATCCATGTTTACACATCTACCATTGTAACAAGAGTTGTTTCCAGTCTCACATTCGTCCTCGTCAACACACTCATGGTTCTCATCTACAACAGTACCTGGAGGACACTCACAGGAGAAGGAACCCACACTGTTTAAACAAACTCCACCGTTACATAATCCTTAATAAAGTTTGATATAATTTCTCATTCATTTTCAGAATTTATTTAGAATAGATAAATATTATTAATATTAGGAGATCACATGTGTTCTTCTCACTTTTTGTCAATTTTTGCGCCCGCTCCGTTTTATGACCTTAAACACGTCAACATTTTGGAAATGGGTTTAAATCTTATTTAAGTACTTTCATTTATTAAGATGTAATATGTAAATACAATGTCATAACTTAATGTCACGTAATATCAACAAAGGAATTAAGTCTTTGTCATAAACTATGATTTTCTAATCTCTATATCTTTGTAATTCAATGCCGTAGACCTGAGATATTTCAAACTATGAATTCTGTTAGATGAAAAAATCTAAGGTGGGAAAAATATAGGTATTAGCAAATCAGAGTTTGTCACAAAGACTCAATTCCTTTCATTTGTTTTCTTATATGATCCAAAATGTATGCATAATAACAGGACTGATAAATATTTCACAATTTTCTTAGAGTTTAAAACAAACTTAGTAATTCAGCAATTTGTAAATATAGGTTTATTATAAGAGTAACAATATTTGAGTTTACTCATAGGAAATGTTTGCGAAAAATAAAAGGGGTCAGACTGAACCCTAATCAAATTCGGATTCGCTCGCTACTAATGTTATTTCTATCTATAATGAGAGAATGATTGAAACGCTCTATAAATCTATGTATGGTCGGGGGCAGGGACATCCCACGCCCCTCCCCTAGAAAAAACTTCGAGTTAAGGTATAGGGTTGCAATGCATGTTCATAGTCCAATTTTTCAAGGTCAGTCTTTAAAATAAAATAATTAGACCGCTAACATTAGGGAGGTTTTAAAAATGTCAAAAAGAAGAAAGGGTAAATGTAAAAAATAAAAATAAAAAGATCTTGGCTATTTTCAAAATTATTTTTTACATGAACCTTTACCTTTCTCTATTCTATATCCATATTCATTAAAAAATCCTTAAAATTACCATGCCTTTAAAGAGAGTGTTCGAGAAAACTGAAAGGGGGTACAGGCTTAATGCGATAAAAAAGCGCTTTTGATCGCTACTAATCTTACTTCTATCTGTTGCGTCTATAAGGAGAAAATTGTTAAAAACGTCTCATACCGAATAACATAGCGTCCATACAAATTGAGAAAATTGCAACATACGAATTAGACCGTAAATAAATCAATTTAATTTCAAACAAATCATACAGATATTACAACCTTTGTCATCGATTATCTTTCGCCACATTTGTATATAGTTGATTTTTCATAATATGTTGAGATTTTATTTTTTTAAATAATATTTAGCTTACAACTTGTTTTCGAACATTCCTGGAAAATATGAAAATGTCGTCTTCATTAGCTAAAATCCTCGGAACAGAAAAGTAATGTTTTTATAAGTAACTCTCAGATCATAACAATTAAAACATATTATGAAAAATCAACTATATACAAATGTGGCGAAAGATAATCTATGACCATAGGTTGTAATATCTGAATGAGTTGTTTAAAATTAAATAGATTTGTTTACGGTCTAAGTCGTATGTTGCATCTTTCTAAATTTGTATGGACACTACATTCTTCGGTATGAGTCGTTTTTAACAAGTTTCTCCTTATAGACGCAACAGATAAAAGTAAGATTAGAAGCGATCAAAAGAACTTTTTTATCGCATTAAGCCTATACCCCCTTTCATTTTTCGCGAACACTCCCTTTAAAATAAAAAATTTATCTGACCTGGTATAGCTTCACATTCATCTATATCCATACACTTCCCGGTGTGGACATTTTTGAGAAACCCTGTTTTGCATTCTAATCTATCAGGACATTTCTCACAAGGATGTCCCCATGCCTTTCCTGATAGTTTAACAAATTGTTTCTTTAACTTTTCTTCATTTTTCTCTACAAGGTTTAGAAGAAAATTAAAAATAAGGTTTCTTAAAGTTTCCGAATCCGTTTCAAGGAGATTAAAATAAGTGCTTTCTGGGTGCTTTCTTCAATAATGAAATATCTTAACATTTGAAAATACTAAGATTATGTGGTTTATAGTTAAAATGATGTTCGGAGTTTTTAGTTTTATTTTCTATAATATACGATTTATTAAGAATAGATATAAATTGGCGAACAATCTTTCCTATAGTAGCACAGCAGAGCTGCCGTGTGCAAACTACACCCTGGAGAGAACCTCGACATTGTCCGTCCTGTATCCGTCGGTAGCAAGGACCAGTTCTAAATTAATCCAATATAACTTGAAATGAGACCATCCAAGTTTTTGAATTCTGAAATCACATTCCGGTATTAAAATATTCTCCCAGATACCTGTATTCTTTTACCCAGATACCTGTAATCTATCCCCCAGATACCAGTAATCTATCCCCCGGATACATGTAATCTATCCCCCAGATAACTGTAATCTTTACTACGGATACCTGTAATCTATCCCCAGATACCTGTAATCTATACCCAGAAACCTGTAATCTATCCCCCGATACCTGTATTCTATCTCCCGAATACCTGCAATCTATCCCCCGATACCTGTAATATATCCCCCAGATACCTGTAATCAATCCCCAGATACCTGTAATTTATCCTCCAGACACCTGTAATCTATCCCCAAGATACCTGTAGTCTATCCTCCAGATACCTGTAATTTATCCTCCAGATACCTGTATTCTATCCTCCAGATAACTGTATTCTAACTCCTATATACCTGTAATCTATCCTCCAGATACCTGTAATCTATCCTCCAGATACCTGTATTCTATCTCCTATAAACCTGTAATCAATCCACAAGATACCTGTAATCTTTCCCCCCAGATACCTGTAATCTATCCCCAGATACCTGTAATCTATCCCCCAAAGAACTGTAATTTATCTCCCATATACCCGTAATCTATCCCCCAGATACCTGTAATCTATTTCCCATATACCTGTAATCTATCCCCCAGATACCTGTAATCTATCTCCCATATACCTGTTATCTATCTCCCATATACCTGTAATCTATCTCACAATATCTTCCTGTGTAACCATAAACACAAGCACAGCGGTTGGGCCCAATACATCGTCCACTATTCTTACAGCTCCTACTACATACAGGATCCTGAACAAGTAAATGAAAAATATTATTCCTACAGGTATTTACCAACGTACCAAGTGCAAGCAACAAAAATGGTAAGTTTTAAAATAAATGATTCATTCAGATGCAAAGGAATTGAGTCTTTGCAACAAACTCTGATTTTCTAATCCCTAGATCTTTAGATTCCAATGTCGTAGACCTTTGATATTTCAAACTATGAGTTCTGTTAGATCAAATAATATAAGTTTGAAATATCAAAGGTTTACGACATTGGGTTTCAAAGATATAGGGATTAGAAAATCAGAGTTTTTGACAAAGAATCAACTCCTTTATTATTATATTCCAGCCACAGTGCTCGGCCTTTGAAAGTATTAAATCGAATCTTAATTCTATCCTTAAAATTACATTGAAAGAGAAGTCAAAAAGACATATGAAACTAATTTGGGAGTTGGTTACTTTGAAAGAACCTACTGCTTGACGGTTAGTTGAGCTAGGATCCTAAGAAACTTTACCTGGCAGAATTCTCCTGAATATCCTGTTCTACAGATACATTTTCCTTCTGAACAGGTTCCACCGTTCAGACAGGTTGCTCTGCAGTCTCCTGTATCTCTAGCATCCCCGGAGCAGGTCGGAGATATCTTTCCATCCTCACAGATACAGATATTTGGTTTCACACATTTACCTAATTGTTAGAATAATTTTAATATTCTAAATAAACCTCGTTTCGCCTTTTTTAGGAAGCTAAGATGTTAATTTTTTTTCAGACAAAATCTATTTCATACATTTAATGAAAAAATATGCATCAAATGTTTATTTTTGTCTGGATATTAATTTTTAACCCTTACCATTATCTCCACAGTTATTATTACATATCGGAGACAGACAGAGTCCTGTCACCCCCTTGATCTTCCAACCAGGACAGCACTCACTTCGACTCCGGGTTCGACAAACATTTGGTCCTCCTGCTCCGACAAGAACCAAATGATTCATTGTTGAATAATTCTTAAAATTATGTTTTAAAGTGCTACTATTTGTTTATTAATGTTAAAATCTAAAAGTTTGTTTTTCCCAAGTTTAGCCAGCAATGGTTTATTAATTTAATAATTCTTGATCTGTTCCTGGAGAAACTCTGATGGACGCAGATTGTGAGTTTTCATCATCCGGGCCCTGATCTCCTCTTGATACATATCTCTCCCTACCCTCACCATAGTAGACGAGCAGGAGGAGGAGGAGAAATGTTTCAAGTCTCATATTTATCCACACTCAGTTTTAATAAATTAGGTCAATTGTTCCTCGTCTTACATTTGGTAAAGTTTGGTGAATGATTGCCAGGGTTGGACTTTGATACTCCAGAACTCTTTGCAGATTCATCATTTCATCTGAGAGCTCACATATTCAGTGCAGATGTACAACCCCTTCTAACATTATTCTATCCAAAACCTATCAAAAATATGTATTATTTTGGCTTGATAACACTGTTTTAAAGATATTTTTTACTCTTATACTGATCCATGATGCCTAAGACCTATTTATTGTTGTCATCATTAAAGTATATTTCGCCCAAAATAAATTATTCTCCGATCCTTGCTCATGATACATGATCCTTACTAAACTATTCTTGTTTTAGTATTCTAGTTCTCTATTCTTACTAAACTATTCTTGTTTTAGTATTATAGTTCTCTTTTCTTACTAAACTATTCTTGTTAACTAGTATTCTAGTTCTCTATTCTTACTAAACTATTCTTGTTTTAGTATTCTAGTTCTCTATTCTTACTAAACTATTCTTGTTTTAGTATTCTAGTTCTTTATTCTTACTAAACTATTCTTGTTTTAGTATTCTAGTTCTCTATTCTTACTGAACTATTCTTGTTTGAGTATTCTAGTTCTCTATTCTTATTAAACTATTCTTGTTTGAGTATTCTAGTTCTCTATTCTTAGTAAACTATTCTTGTTTTAGTATTCTAGTTCTCTATTCTTACTAAAATATTCTTGTTTTAGTATTCTAGTTCTCTATTCTTACTAAACTATTCTTGTTTTAGTATTCTAGTTCTCTATTCTTAGCTAAACAATTCTTGTTTTAGTGTTATAGTTCTCTATTCTTGCTAAACTATTCTTGTTTTAGTATTCTAGTTCTCTATTCTTACTAAACTATTCTTGTTTTAGTATTCTAGTTCTCTATTCTTATTAAACTATTATTGTTTTAGTATTCTAGTTCTCTATTCTTAATAAACTATTCTTGTTTTAGTATTTTAGTTCTCTATTCTTGCTAAACAATTCTTGTTTTAGTGTTATAGTTCTCTATTCTTGCTAAACTATTCTAGTTTTAGTATTCTGGTTCTCTATTCTTACTAAACTATTCTTGTTTAGTATTCTATAGTTCTCCAGTATCCCAACTCCTAATCTAGTATTGGATTTCAGTATGTTAAGGTTTAGCTCCTTGAATAAGAGAATATCCCTGAAATCAAGACTCTGCTAAATGCATCCTACTGTCTACAGGATATCTATATGTAGAATCATGAACGCACGTTTGCCTGACTACTAGATACTAATGATTTGAAAAGATTTAAACGAATTTAGATACAAATTTTAGTAAGGGGAAATTATGTACTAGACTTCTAGGACGCTTCGCGTTTTTTTTCTTCTAGCTTTAGCTTTTTATCATTGCTCTTGAAGCTGTCATTTTTATTTGTAAATCGTATCTCAAGGATTTAACTGTTTAAATTTGCATAGTATAAAAAATATTAAATATTGACATTTATTTCCAGGTAAAAATTTTCATCTTTGGCATTCCACAATCCTTCTCTGGGGTCATGTGAGTTTCCTCACAACATTTGGGTCCAACCAGTTCGGACTTTTGACGTTAATTGGACAGACAAACAAACATTTATAGTATATTAAAAAAAAGAAAAAAAAATTTAGCTTCAATAATCAAAGTCTTCCCAAAAATCAAGTGATTTCTTATAATCGAATTGTTCTTCCCGTCCTAGTAGAATCTAAGTGTGACAATGTAAAAATTTCGAAATCATTCTGAATATTATTTTGCCAAAATAGCAATAAAATATCTAGGGATAAACTGTGGACATTTTTTTCATAATTATAAAAATAATTGAATTATATGCCAAACAATACACCTTAGATAAGGCATCAACATCTAGATACATAAGCATTAAGTTTTTAGGATCTATAGCCCAATTTCTTTCTCTGACTATAAATTTAGTAGATGACACCATTATCCTTGAGCGGAATGAAACAATTTTTTCGATTTTTTATGATTTTCTTGTAGCAACAATTTTAGCGATTAAATTTTACTTTTCAATCGAACATTTTTTCTTTTTTTCTTTGTAATTGTAAATCTAAAAGTTTTGAGGACCAATTTATAAAAAAAATAAAATCGACATTTTTTCTAGGTAAATCTTTTAACCTTTAGGCTTTCATAAACGTTTCCTAGGGTTATGTGAGGTTGTCACAAAAATTTTAGCCCAATAGTTTTAGTCGGTTTGACGTTTTTTGGATACAGACAGACAGACAAGCCAAGTTAATAAATAGATTAATTAAGTTCTGTACAAACAATTTTTCGATACTGATAATTTTACCGGAAAAATTATAAAATTGTAACAAAGTTGAACCAAAGCCGGGCCGGTTTATAAGGTATATTATTTCTAGATACGTTTTTTTGATACCTTAAACTGGTTTTATGTATAGTTTCAAAATAAATATATAAACTATATTTTTTATCCTTATCGTAAAATGAAAATTGGGGGTTTTAATGCTTTTTTATGCATATCTTGTCTTAAAATTAAAATTTTCGAATTAATTTTAAAAAAAATTTCCAACCTAAATAAAATAACCACGGCAATTTCCTCCAGGCCTTTTGTTAAAATTAAAATACTAAAAATTGTACATACAATCCCTTGGACACTAAATACTTATTATAATTAAGACATTCTCTTATACCTGAATTGAATCCGTTCGTTGTAGGTTTATTTACTCCGTATATACCTTACACTATAGGAACTAGAGAGACTGTAAGAGAGAAGAGCAGAAACTAACTGGAACCCGGAGAAGGAAGGGGGAGATGCGCGGAGCTAGTTCTGTTTTCTTATGTGATGGACTCATGGAGAAAGCATAAAAGGATCGGCACCTAACCCAAGAAAATCGGCGTATATCTCAATATTTTATCTTAAAAATATTTGACTTAAATATTGAATTTATGACTTAAATCCAGAATGTTTTATACATGGTGTTATTATGCATATTTAAATGTAAGACTATGCCTGAAGTACAGACTAGGGTTGGGTTCCTATCAGTATCATCTCCACCATATGTGAGGGATGCAAAGAGAAGGGTGGTGGTGTGAGGGGGGGGGGTACTGAACGGAGTAGAAATAAATATTCACATATTTGCAAGCAATGTAAACAGGGGAACGGTATGCTAACTAATAAATCGCCATGGGAGGAAGAGGAGGGGGGGTGTTCTAGTAAATTCTAGTTTATTCTTAATCATCAATATCATCAAGAGTGTACATAATTTGTTTTCATTCATTGTTAAATACAATTTGGACTTAAAGATTTTTCAATGTGGTTAAAAACGCATGATTTCTTGTAGTAAGTACATTTTTCAGTGGTGATTTATATAGATATACAATTACAAAGATCAGCACACTAATAACAAAGATCAGTACAATAATTACAAAGATCAGTACAATAATTACAAAGATCGGTACAATAATTACAAAGATCGGTGCAATAATTACAAAGATCAGTACAATAATTACAACGATCAGTACAATAATTACAACGATCAGTACAATAATTACAACGATCAGTACAATAATTACACTGATCAGTACAATAATTACAAAGATCAGTCAAATATTTACTATTACATATGCTCTACATTCCGCCCAAGCCATCTTTAAGGGAAATGTTTGCAAGATCCATGGAGAATGGTTTTTACCAAATTTTGTTAACAAAAACATCGAATAGAAATACCCAATTCATTCGTAATTTTATCATTTTCTTTGCAAACACTCCCAGTAATCATTTGACCTATTTTCTTCTTTAAACTCGCCTGAAAAGATCACGTATATACACACACATATATATATATATATATATATTTGGTGGGGACATTACCCAAAACAGTGTAAACTAATCTCCACAATTGCTATATAATTGTAATATGTATTGTTAGGAATAAAATATATCTTATCTTATATGTAACCCATCAAATCAAAATACTTGTTAAGGCAACCCTTGTGAAAGATTTATTTAACGCGTCTTCTCATCAGAGTACAATACTAGGACCTGAGCTTAACCCATGCATGATTCTATATTCTATACACAACATTATTGTTCATAACTCAACCCTTTTCCATAGGGGGGGCAGTTATAATATGTTGGTGTGATAGGGAAAGAAGGAGTAATGCTATAGAGGAGTAGGGATGTATATATTGTATGTAAGGAGAAGTAGCGATGTATATTGTTTAAGGAGGAGTACTAAGAAGGGATGTATATTGTATATGGAGAAGTAGCGATGTATATTGTTTAAGGAGGAGTACTAAGAAGGGATGTATATTGTATATGGAGACGTAGGGATGTATATTGTATAAGGAGGAGTACTGAGTAGGGATTTATATTGTATATGGAGACGTGGGGATGTATATTGTATACGGAGAAGTAGTGATGTATATTGTACAAGGAGGAGTTTGGAGTAGGGATGTATTATATTGTATATGGAGACGTAGGGATGTACATTGTACATCCCTACTCCTCCTTATACAATATACATTCCGACTACTCCTTCTTATACAATATACATTCCTACTCTTCCTTATACAATATACATTCATACTCCTTCTTATACAATATACATTCATACTCCTCCTTATACAATATACATTCCTACTCCCCCTTTTACAATATACATTATATTTTATAAGGAGCAGATAGGATGTATATTGTATAAGGAGGAGTAGGAATGTATATGGAAGGGTAGGGATTTATATTGTATAAGGAGGAGAAGCGATGTATATGGAAGGGTAGGGATGTATATTGTATAAGGAGGAGTAGGAATGTATATGGAAGGGTAGGGATTGAAAGGACGGCTAGGGCAGTATAAGGACTCGAGTGGTAACGTGGTGATTGGAGTAGGGTAGATAGGGTATAAGAAGGCTATGATAGGAAATGAGGGGAAATAGGGGAAGGAAGATTAAGGGAAGGAATGGGAAGGGAAGGAAAGGGAAGAGAAGGAAGGGGAAGAGATAGGAAGGGAAGGGAATGGGGGGAAGGAAGAGAAAAGGAGTAGAAGGAAGATAGAGTGGAGGGGAGGGAGAAGGTATTAAAATTATTGTTAAACAAACCTTTGAATAAAGCTAATCCTTGATTCAAAACTATCTTTTCTTCCTTAGCAGGCTTTTTCAGCTCTAAACCGAAGATAAATCCTCCATTGTATACTTTAGAAAGGTTAAAGGGAAGCTGGTGTGAATCACTGATGGAACTCTTTAAATGGAGGTTCAATTTATGTTAGTATGACAATTTCTGACGGTAAAGAAATAAAAAATTTTATAATATATGTTTTATTATATTTTAGTTGTTTTTGCACGTTTTAGAACAATACAGGTTTAATTAGGTATAGTATCCTACCCTTCCTTCNTCAAAACTGCATTTAATGCAATTGAGTCAAGTCATTATATATATATATATATATTTACTTCCCTCTATCCATTCGGAAATAAAGGAACTGAACACTTGTCTCTAATTTTGTATATCTGTTTAACTTGACATTTAAACCTTTGATATTTCATAGTATGATTTCTGCTAGAATAAAAAGTCTAAAAGCCAATAAGAACAAGTAAAATTATTAAAGAATATTGATCATTTGTAATAGAAACATATTTGATATCTCATATAACAGCATATTTGATATCACAGATAACAGCATATTTGATATCCCATATAACAGCATATTTGATATCACATATAACAGCATCCAATATATCATCTAAGCAATCCTGTAGCAAGAAGTAACAGCATGCAAGTAACAGAAAATAAGAGACTATAAAAGCCTGTAACAGCAGGTAACAGCAATTAACAGCAATTAACTACTAGAAACAGCAAGTACCTAGTATTTTCCTCTTTGGTCTTGAGTACCTAGTATTCTCCTCTTTGGTCGAGGGTACCCCAAGTATTTTCCTTTATGGTCCAGGGTGCCCAGAGTATTCTCCTCTTTGGTCGAGGGTACCCCAAGTATTTACCTCTATGGTCTAGGGTACCCAGAGTATTCTCCTCTATGGTCCAGGGTACCCAGAGTATTCTCCTCTAGGTCCAAGGTACCCAGAGTATTGCCAACCCTACCGGGTGGTCTAGTTGGTAAGGTGACACTTCAAAACTTTGCAAAACCAACCAGAGTTCAGAATATAGAATTAGGAGCATGAGTTCAGAATACATGGATTTAGGATTTTAGAATACATAGAGTTAAGAGTTAAGAATACACATTTAAGAGTTCAGAATTCAGATTTAGGAGTTTAGAATACAGAATTAGGAGCAAGAGTTCAGAATACATATTTAAGAGTTCAGAATATAGAATGCATAACCAGAATATTCTACAGAAACAACCTGTGTTCAGAATCTATATATATACTTTTCTTTTTTCTGTTTGTTTGTTTCCAATAAACGACAAAAAGGGCTGAACCAATCAGATCCAAATTTTGTGTGGGACCTCATATGACCCATGGAAGGTTTTTGCATGATCAGATTTACAAAAAAATGCCTGAAAACATTTGTATTTCAATCAAATTTTGAAAATCAACGAAAAAAAAATATAAATCCGCAAATTATTTTTTGCTTTATCGAAGAGAAAAGGCTGAAAGATTGAGCAACTATTATTAGAAGTTAAAATAGAAGATGGGCGCGAAGCGCCCTGATAACCTGGTACTATAGATTTACGGAAAACAGAATTAAGAACATGAATACTCAGGCCTGATATCTCACTTCTAAGCCTTAAATTATGCAATCTTTAGAACTTTTTAATCGCCATCATCCCCTTTTTTGGAATCAAAAACTGTCCTTGCTTGGGTCTCAATTCAAATGCAAATCAATGCCTATGTAAAGCAAGATAAAGGTATACATAAGCTTGAAGTAATGCATACAAGCATAAAGCCAAGTCTACGGAAGGAACAGCCTTCTTCGTATAAAAGTATATTCATGAGGGTATTGTCTGTATGAATTGAATTTTGTGTACAGGGTGATCAAAATAAACATTATTCTGGAAATTCTCATACTTAAGGTGTCCATATAAATATAATATTTATTTCAAGAAACGCATGAGAGGTTAAAACTTGTAAAAAAGTAAAAAAGGGAATATTTTTAATATTTTTATTCTCATGTTTTTTAGCCTCCCTGTATACATATATATACATATATATATCGTCTGTATTTAGATTTGGCAAGATGTCAGAGTGGAGCATGCTTTAATAGATTTCCTTCATTAATCCAGTTGGAACCTTACATAGGTAGGTTACAGACCAATGATTATATAGATAGGATAGGATACAGCAAGGATTATATAGATAGGATAGGATACAGCAAGGAGTATATAGATAGGATAGGATACAACAAGGAGTATATAGATAAGATAGGATACAGCAAGGAGTATATGGATAGGATAGGATACAGCAAGGATTATGTAGATAGGATAGAATACAGCAAGGAGTATATATATAGGATAGGATACAGTAAGGAGTATATGGATAGGATAGGATACAGCAAGGATTATATAGATAGGATAGGATACAGCAAGGAGTATATAGATAGGATAGGATACAGCAAGGAGTATATAGATAGGATAGGATACAGCAATGAGTATATAAATAGGATAGGATACAGCAAGGAGTATATAGATAGGATAGCTACAGAAAAGCTAATTTTTTTACTATTATAATACTTTAGAGTACTAGGTACAACACCCCTATCTTCTGTACCTTTAAAATATACATAAAGGGTTACCCACAAAGGATGAGACTTCAGAGACGACTGTACGGAATTAATACTGCCTG